TCTTGGAAATATTAATGTGAAGATCGATGATGAAGATTAAGCATTGTTGCTGTTATGTGCTTTGCCCAGAACACATGCTCACTTCAAAGAAACTCTCTTGTATGGAAGGGAGTACTTGACCTTTGAAGAAGTTCAATCAACCTTTTATTCTAAGGACTTGAACAAACGAAAGGAGCATAAACCTTCGACGGTGGGTGAAGGTTTGGACATTAAGGGAAAATTCTTGCAAAAGGATGGTAAGTTTGACAAGAAGAAAGGTAAAAGTCAACAAAAATATTATAGTGGCAAAACATCTGGTATTCGATGTTATCACTGTAAAAAGGAAGGTCACACAAGAAAGGTGTGCCCTGAACGCCTGAAAGATCATTGAGGTAATGGCAACGTAGCCATTGTTCAAGATGACTTCGACTCATCTGATGTTCTTGTGGTTTTAAGTGGCGACTCGAGAAAATAGTGGATTATGGATTCAGGTTGCACTTGACATATGACTCTAAACAAAGAATTGTTCGAGGAGCTATGTGATCAAGATGGTGGATCTGTGCTACTGGGAAACAACAAATCTTGCAAAATTGCAGGTATTGGATCTGTGAGATTCAAGCTCCATGATGAGTCAATAAGGTTATTGACTGAAGTCGGATATGTACCTAACTTGAAGAGAAATTTGATTTTTCTTGGTGAATTCGACATAAAGGGATACATTTTTCAAGGAGAGAAAAGTATCCTAAGAGTCATAAAGGGGTCGAAGGAATTCTTGAGAGGCGTGAAGAAATAAGGCTTGTATACCCTTGAGACTGAGGTTGTAAGTGGTTTGACAAATGTTGCATCCACGAAACCTGTGTCGAAGACAGAATTATGGCACATGAGATTGGGCCATGTCAGCGAAAGAGGTCTGGTCGAATTGGGGAAGCAGAACCTGTTAGGAGGTGGCAAAGTCGAAGTTTTGTGAATCTTGTGTATTTGGTAAATCCTGTAGGGCAAAGTTTAACAAAGGCAAGCAAAGAACACATGGATCCTTGGATTACATTCATGATGATCTTTGGGGGCCTGCAAGGAATCCTTCACACTCAGGTGCAAAGTATTTTCTATCCATTGTTGATGACTATTCCAGAAAGCTATGGGTATTCATCTAGAAGACGAAGGATGAAACTTTTGAGAAATTCAAAAGTTGGAAGATTCTGGTTGAAACTCAAACTAGCAGAAAGGTCAAGAGGTTGAGAACCGACAATGGCCTTGAATTCTGCAACAAAGCGTTTGACAGTTCCTGTGTTGAGTCTGGGATTGCAAGGCATAATACTGTATCAGGTACTGCTTAATAAAATGGATTAGCTGAGAGATTCAATCGAACAATCCTTGTAAGGGTTAGATGCATGTTGGTTAGTGCTGGATTGAAGAATGTGTTTTGGGCGGAAGCTGTTTCGACAGCAGCTTACCTGATCAATACATGTCCCTCGACTGCCTTGAGAATGAAGACAGTATGCTCATATTAGGCAAGACAAGGTCGAACTTAGAGCTCTGGAATGCATGTTCGTGGGATACCTTGAAGGAGTCAAAGCTTATAGGCTATGGTGCCTAGAACAAGGTCATAAGAGGTGTATCACCAGTCGATACATAGTTTTCAATGAAGCAGAGATGACTTTCAAGAAAACTGATGATGCTGACGAAGAGTTGGAACATGGAGAGATTCATGTTGAGGTGGAGCATATTGATGTTGAATTGCGTACCCCAGATGACGTCGAAGAAGGTGTAGAAGATGTTTTCAAAGATGAGGAGACTGATAATGACTACCTGCTAGCAAGAGACAGGTCGAGGAGACTCATCAAGCCACCTCAGAGACTTGGGTATGCATATCTTATAGCTTATGCCTTAATCTCTGCAAGTGAGGTTCAAGATGAAGAACCTAGAGACTATAAGGAAGTTATGAGGAGTCGAAAGAAGACTGAATGGATAAATGCCATGGATGATGTGATGAAGTTTCTTCATGATAACAACACATGGGAACTGATTAAGAAACCTGCTGGAGCCAGGTTAGTCAGCTGTAAATGGATTTTCAAAGTTAAGGAAGAAATCCAAGGAGTGGCGTTGAAGAGATACAAGGAAATACTAGTTGCTAGGGGGTTCACTCAGAAAGAAGGTATCGACTTCAATGATGTGTTCTCTCCTGTTGTGAAGCACATATCCATTCGAATGTTGCTTGCCACAGTGGCACAATTCAACCTTGAACTGGAACAGATGGATGTGAAAACTGCGTTCTTGTATGGTGAGTTAGATGAAACAATCCTGATGAGGCAGCCTGAAGGGTATGTCGAAAGAGAGAAGAAAAATTATGTGCGCAAGCTGAATAGATCTTTATATGGACTAGAACAATCTTCTCGATAGTGGAATAGGAGATTTTTCAAGTTCATGGCACCCATAAGTTTCATCAGAAGTAAGTTCGGCCACTATGTTTACTTCAGATTTCGATCGGGTAATTCATTTGTTATTTTGTTGCTCTATGTGGATGATATTCTAATAGCAAGCAACAATGTCGAAGAGGTAATGAGGGTGAAAGCTAAACTCAATAAGAAGTTCAACATGAAGGATCTAGGACCTGCGTCCAGGATTCTTGGGATTGACATCCGAAGAGATAGAAAGTAGTCGAGATTAGGCTTATCTCAAGAGGCATACCTACAAAAGATTCTCAAAAAGTATGGTTTGTCGAATTCAAAGCCTGTTGTAACTCCGACAAACCCTCAATTCAAGCTGAATATAGATCAGTGTCCCAACATTGATGTTGAAAGAAATTAAATGAATAGCATTCCATATGCTATCATAGTAGGTTCTTTGATGTATACTATGGTCTGTACTGGACCTGACATAGCATGCAGTAAGTCTTGTAAGTAGATACATGGCGAATCCTGGAAAGGCTCACTGGTAAGCATTGAAGTGGATTCTAAGATACATAAATGGGTCTCTAAATAAAGTCCTAATTTATGGTGGAGCCTTGGGTGAATATAGTAAAGCAACAATTGAAGGATATGTCGACTATGATTATGCAGGTTGTATGGATTCTAGAAAATCTCTCTAGATATGTGTTCACTATGTTTGGGACAACAATCAGTTGGGAAACAACACTTCATAAGATCTTTTCCTTATCAACCACTAAAGCGGAGTATATTTCTCTAACTGAAGTTGTGAAGGAAGCATTGTGGCTTGAAGATTTTGCAAAGGATCTGAAACTTCAAGGTCGAGTTATCACTGTTAAATGTGATAGTCAAAGTGTAATACACCTGTCGAAGAATTCATCCTATCATGAGAGAACCAAGCACATTGATATGAGGCTACATTTCATCAGAGGGGTAATTGAGTGTAGAGAAGTCCAAGTGGTGAAGGTTTCGACAAGATCATAATGTTGCTGATATGATCACCAAGACGTTGCCCAGTTGCAAATTTTTCCACTGTATGCAGTTGATAAAGCTGCATGAAAAAGCTAGTTTCTTGATGTTATAAAGTTAGATCCAAGGTGGAGATTTGTGAGATGTTGGATCGAAGTCTAGTATGGTTGAATGGTAGCTTCTGGTTCAACAGGAATTAAACATGAGGTCGAAGTATGTTCGCATGCTGCTTTCAGAGTAATGCGTGTTGTAGTCGAAGTTTGTTCTAACATGCATTAGTCAATATTGCTAGGGTTGTTAGCATGTTGAATTGGGCCTTACTTGTAAACCCAATTGTTTAAGTTAGCTTGTACCTTAAGTTCGCTTGTAATGGATAATTGTTAAAAAAATCTATTAGGTTAGTGTGCTATTTTTATTATAAATAGGATGTTAGTTTCTCAATCTTGGCATAAGGAAAAATAGGAAGATAAAATCCTAATTTCAAGAGAGAGAGGTTATTGTGTTATTCTTATATACTTGTAATCTTGTTCCAAGAGAAAGGAAAGAATAGCAGTTTAATAATCAATCCTTGTTGTTCCTTGTTGTTTTACCTTGTCTTCTTTATTAACCCTAACCCTTGTGTGTTACTTGATCATTAAGAAACCGTTTATACTTTGTCACAAGGTGTCTGATTCACAACACTTCCCTCTCCTTGATAGATTGAGAGTAAGATCCACTAAAGTGTATTCGAGATTACGGGTGAGCTAGATGACCGATTGCTCCTCTTTATCTTCTTTCAACTTTTATCTTTTGGAGATGAGTTTGTTTTAGTTGTTCAGGAGGTAGTAGAGTTTTTCTCTCTTAAGTTTTTATTTTTATTTTGGTGTTGAGTTGGTTTTGTTTGTTGAGTTGTTGTACTTTGTCTCATAGTCGAATGTTGTGTGTGTGCTTGTTTTGTTTTCTTCTTCTCTTTCTTTCGTGTCACTCTGGGTTGTTCTAAACATTGCTTATTGTATTGATTCTTTTATTTTTTTATTAATTATTATATTGATATGCTTTGCTATTAAATAAATATATTTTGATAAAAAAAATTAACTATTTTTTTAATGAAAAAATCTTGTAAAATAAGTTTAAATGTTCTCAAAATTAATACAACAATAAGTTTTTTAAATCCTTAAATTTACTCAATGAATCTTACACAAATATAATAATATATTTTTCTACCAATACAATAAGAAGTTGATTTATACTCTACAGAGATGCATGTTTAATTTTGCTAGTATAACGATTTTTTTTCAAGATTTAAGTTCTATTTTAGTTATCTTTTGTCCTAAAAATAGATAATTAGTAAATTTAATGTAATTTCACCAATCACATGTTTAACCATAACCCTCACAGTTAATCACTAGTTACAATGCGGTAATTGTTTAAAAACAACCACAAAAGCTGTTTAATTGAACTGTATAAAAATCATATATCTATTGAATAAATTAAGTAAATTTGTCTTCTTATATATGGAAAATTCCAAAACAAAAAAGCGCGTTTGCCTGGAATAAATTAATCTTGGAAAATCCATATCTCTTTCTTGGTATTTTCATTGTAAGCTTTCAAGAAATTTCAAGAACCAAATCAAGAAATTTCAATCCACTGATGAATTCTTTTGCAGGTAATTAATTAGTTTCTCATCCATAATCTTCAAAGTTCAAACTCAAATTTCATCTTTTCCACATCTATATTAAACTATATACTAACATAAATTTTGTAACTTCAGCTGAGGAATCTACAACTTCAAAAATGGATCACAAGAAAGCAACAAACAGAAAAACTCGAAGTTTCGCATTTAGGGTTCATGAACATGGTACGTACGATACATCAGTTATTCAATGAATATAAAAAAGAGAATATAAAGAGAATATTTGCTTATAATAGTTGCTGTAAAACTAGGTCATAAACTATCAGAATGTCATGATATATCAGTTATTCAATGATTCTGAAAAAGAGAATATTTGCTTATAACAATTACTATAATAAATATATATGTCGGGTTGTATGAAGCTAAATCATAAACTTTCAAAAACATTATGATATATCAGTTATTCAATGAATCTGAATAGAAAATATTTGTTTATAATAGTAACCGTAATAAATATATATGTTGTATCGCAGTAAAACTAGGTCATAAACTATCAGAAACTCTGAAGGGTAAATTGAGTTTGGGTGCGAAGATAATACAAGAAGGTGGAAGAAGAAACATTTTCAAGAACATTTTTGGAATGCAAGAAGGAGAGAAAGTTTTGAAAGCTTCGCAATGCTATTTATACACAACAGCTGGTCCTATTGCCGGAGTTCTCTATATCTCTACCGAAAAAGTTGCATTTTGTAGTGAAAGACCAATTACTTTCTCTTCTGCAACATCAGGAGAGTCGCGCAAAGTACCTTACAAGGTACGTAATCGTTAAGAGTCTCGCGTTGAATAATTATGTAGTTTGATTTTGATGTTAAAGATTGTTTTGTTATGCAGGTTTTGATACCAATTGGGAAGATAAAAGAAGTTAATGAAGGAGAGAATGTGGATCAAGAGGAACAAAAGTATATAGAAATTGTAACTGAAGAGGATTCTGAATTTTGGTTTATGGGATTTTTAAAATATGAGAAAGCTTTTAGGAATCTTGAGAAAGCAATTTCTATGTCCAGTTAGAAAAACAGAAGTGTGTAGGAATTGTTGGAATTAGTTGAATATTGTTTATTATGGTTACAAGTTAGTTGGAATTAGTTACTAGTTTGTTATGTTAGTTATTTTTGCATTTGTATAAAGTGATGCACATAACATGTTTGATGAAATTCCCAAATGAAATTCAAAACATTTGAAGTGGCGTGCTTATTAATAATTTTTTAATTAATAAGTTTTTTTTTAATTTATTTGAAAATTAAATAATACAAGTCTTAAAATATACGATGCGACAAAGACAATTCGCTCATTCTCATCGTTTCAGTATCACTGCCGACTTCAACGAAACTAGTGAAGAGTGTTGGAGAAAGAACAGAGGATTTGGAATTGAAAACTTGAAGGGAATTTGCAATGAACTTGACTCTTGGATTTTGATTGGAGATTTTGAAAATCTTTCTTGAATGAATAAGCTAAAAAGAATTTGAAGCTAGAATTAAACTTGGAACTTGGAAAGTTAATATTAACCATGGATTTTATTTGGAAATGAAATGGAATTAAACTAGACATTTTTGAAATAAATTTGATGCTCATGTGAAATTGAAATTTGGATTGCAATTTGAAATCTTGAGTGAAAATTTAAATTGGGTGAGTTTGAAATTTGGAATCTTATATGATATTTTGTATAAAATTTGACATTGGATCTTGAATGAGATTGAAACTTAGAACTTTGGAAAGAATTAGAAAACATGAGACTTGAAACTTGAACATGAATTAAAATTGGATAATGAAAGTGAATTTGATTAGAATTGATCCTTGAAGAATTGAATATAATGACTTGAATGAATAAAAAAACAGAACTTGGAATTTGATTTGAGTTGAAAGATGAGCTTGAATGAAGAATGTCGTTTGAATTATGAACTGAAATTGAAAATACTTGAATCATAGACTTGAAATTTGGTCATTACTTGAAATTTTGAAATAAACTTGAAATGAGAATCTTGGATGAATTTAAACTTGAATGGGAATCTTGGCATGGAACATGAATTGAAATTGAAATTTGAAATGGAAAACTGAATGAAAATTGCAAAGGTTTTGGAAATTTGTCGTTGGATGGAAACTCGAAAGGCTATAAATTGAATAGGAAGTTTGAATTCTCTTATGACAAGAACATGAACCATATAATCAAGACTTGTAAATGACTTGAAATTTTGACCAAACACATTGACATTTGATGGCTCTGCAACTTAAATTTACCAGGTAAACCTTGATCCAACACAAAATCATAATCCTGATCACGTGATGATTTTCAGACATAAATCACTTAAATCTGACGCTTCATTGTTCTCACAAAGATCTTTAACAAAGATGACTTGAGATATGAACTGTGTTACTATTGCACCCAAAAAACCTAATTGAAAATGAACTGCCTTGGAGATTCTTCAACCATGAAGCACTGATGAACTTAACTCAGCCTGATGACTTGGTAAAGAAGTCAACCAAATGTTTGACCAAGATCAGGTCAAACTTCCATTGAATTTCAAACCATAACGCGCACACACATTTGAACTGATAATTTTGTCTGATCCTTGATTCGATCTTGCAAGACCGGAGCTTAGGCAGTAAAAAGACACGTATTTTTGTATGCACAATAGTTAGATGATATGAATAATGGGTATGATGCACAAATGACAAAAATGCTATGAAATATGTTATTCGACAATTCAGGGTCAAAATTGGAATGTGACAACTAACATCTCGTTTTTGCCTTGTACCTTCCTTATTATTTTAAATAAAAGTATTGAAAAAAGGTTAAAACAAAATTGAGTGATATTGTACATGTATTAATGTGAGTGTCATAGGAAAAGAATCATCTAAATGATGTTTTTGAAGACTTGATTTTTTTGATAATATGGCTTTTTTATCCATGTAATTCACCTTGCCTGAATGTCCAAATCAAAGAATTTGTATATGATATAACATAGTTGGAATATTACCTTTCGTTTCTAAACGTGGCACAAATCAGAAGCAAAAATGGAAGGATTGTTTGGACAAGGATATAAAAAGAAGTACACATGATTAGAGGTGAATGGAGCGGTGGAGTGGAAATTATACAGATCTATCATGAAAGAGCCATGAGATTATAATTTGAGGTTTAATTCAAGAATGGTAGATGGTTAAGGGTAATGAAAGCATATAACAATGACAAGAGAGGGTGAACTGTATTGATATGAAAACGCATGTTTGGCCTTTTGGGAAATATTGTTACCAAGTATTATTGACTTTTTCTCAATGTATTTATTCTTCTTTCATGAGTTTGTGTTATCAAACTAACATATGGTTTTTTATGTTATATGTCTCATACTTTTACGCATAAAACTTGTTGGGATTATGGATGAATATTATACTGGTCTGGATCTGTATATGGTTGGCGTAGAAAGATAAAAACATGATAGAATAAAAATGTTGTCGAAGACTTGAAAGAAATAAAGTCGGAGGAAAGCAATAAAGACGTTTAGGAAATGCCATACTCATATGAACACTTTTTAGTATTAACTTGCTTATTTTTATATGATAATAATAGTTATGAATGTATCGTTGTAAAACTAACAAAACAAAGAAAATAGTATTAGCTTAATAGTCTGTTCAATAGCGGATGTTGTAACGCCTGTTTTATTTCGATTAAATTTAATTATGACTTTGTTGTGTCTCGTTGTGTCGTAGTCGTATTTGAGTATGTGTTTGTCTCGAAGAAAGGAATTGAATCGGTCGAATTTTCGGGCAAAAGTGCAAAATCCCGTAGCAGTTTTAGGGAAAACTTCGAAAATTCATATCTCTTGATCCGTAAGTCGGTTTTAGTCCCCGTTCAAAGTGTTGGAAAGCTAAAGAGATGTTCTGTCTAGAAAAAATGGAATTATGCTGATGTGACGCTCGTCATTAGCTTGTTACGGTCGTCATGATCGTGACGCTCGTCACGAGCTTGTTACGACCGTCATGGCCTTCACGGTCGCGACGCTTGTTACGATCGTCATACTAACAAAATCCAGTAACTGCAGAATTAGAACGTGAACGTGAAAGGCTGAGAAAGTGGAACCAACATATTCGTATTTTCACTTACTCTCAATTCCGTTTTCATTTGGGGGAAAACAGAAACCAAAAGGGAAAAGAACGTAGTGGAGAGAAGTTGATAACAGAAGAATTGTTCATTGGTGAAATTGGAAGATAATTGCAGAAAAGTCGCCGGAGAGCAGAACCAGAATCAGAAGTCTAGGATTGACCTCAATTCCAAGGTGAGGATGGGGTTCAATTCTATAACCAGGGGTATGATAGGTTTCATGAAGGGTATGGAATCATGGGTTTAGTTTCGTAGGTTGATAAATATTAGCGGTAACAGGTTGTCTGTGTCTGAAACCGTGTTGTCTGTATGTGGTCCGTGTGATATTGTATGAGTTATCGTCCCATAATTAACATAAACATGTGGATAATTAAGTATGTGAAAGTTGTAATGCCGTGTGGCGGAACTGTCTTGAGTTCTTGTTTGTTGATATGATGTTGCTATTGTTCCTTTACATGAACAGATTGAGACGATGAATACATGATGTATATGAAATAGTGATGTTCTGTTATGGACAATTTGGTTGTAGACTTAATGCCTTGTTGTATGGTCGTTATGGTTGTGTTATGGTCCATAATAGATGTATTTCATAGAATATCATTTGGCCTGGATTGGCGACGGTTGTGCCTGTATTGGCGTTATTTGGTCTGGATTGGCGACGGTTGTACCTGTATTGGCGTTATTTGGCCTGGATTGGCGACGGTTGTGGAGTGTTGGCTCCAAAATGGTACCACATGCATATGCACAGTTGAGTTGCATAGTTGAGTCGTATTTATTGAATTGCATAGTTGAGTTGTGTCGTTATGCATCTGCAAGCAATTGATGAGTTGCTGAATTTTCATGATAATTGTGGTGGATATGAATAACGAATTATTGCGGTTTAATTATTGATAATACTTTTGCGAACCGCTGGAATTATAATGCTGTGATAATATTCTGACATGACTTTTATCATGCCTTATGTTATATTGTTGATATCTCACCCCTTTACGTTGTATGTTACCTCCGTTGGTGGTAATTTGCAGGTGATCGGGAATAGAGTGTAGCTTTCCTTTAAGGTGTCGTTGGTCGCTCTGATACGTAGCACTCTTGGGGGAGGGGGGATGAACGCTTAATGTTATTGTTTTATTTGATTTTCTTGTTGCTGAATTTAATGGAGTTTTGTTGCAAGTTTCATGGTCTTGCTTTAATCATTATAAATGTTTGAAATGTTTTATACTCCGCTAAAAATTAATGAGATGCCTTGTATTCGAGATGTTAGGCAAGTTGTTTTTTGTTCATCTAGGATTATGTGCTATGTATATTTACTAAATGCATATTGTCTGATCAAATTGTGAAATGTATGCTCTCTGTAAGTTGAAAATGTGACGCCCAGATTTAGGTGAGTGTGACGACCGCCACCGTTCGTTACGATCGTCATGCATCCAATTTTAGTGCACTCTGATTGTATTTTGTTGTTTATCTGTCGGGCTAGAAATGAGGTGTTACATTAGTGGTATCAGAGCAGGTCGGTCCGTCCGGCCAAGTTGTCTAGTGTCATCGAGTCAGTCGTCGTGCCTAGCACGAGAGTTTCGTTATTTGTGAAATCTGACGGTTGGCTGTTGCAGTTTAAGTGAAATGGCTAGGAGGAATGATGCTGCAATTGCTGTTGCGCTGCAAGCTTTAGCTAATGCTATGGAACATCAGCCGAATCCTGCTGGAGATGCTGGGTCTCGCAGTTTGGCAACATTTCAACGGGAGAATCCACCTACCTTCAAGGGTAAGCATGATCCTGATGGTGCGTTGGAGTGGTTGAAGGAAATTGAGCGAATATTTCGTGTGATGGATTGTACTCCAACACAGAAGGTTCGTTATGGGACTCATATGCTAGCAGTCGAAACTGATGACTGGTGGCTAGAGACCCGTCCGGTGTTGGAAG